TTCATTCTTTCACATTGTCCAGCAAGCTTTTCATGAGATGACCCTTTCTTTGTGCTCCTTCAATATACCAAATCTATTGACTTAAAATATCATACAACTGTATCTGTCTCAAGCTTCCACCTATTTTTCTCTTGCTTGTTAACCACAAAGTCCAAAACATCTGGTAAAAAGAAGTTGACACATTTATCATGATTTACGTTTAAAATGATAAATGTGTGATAAAGAGAGTTTCACCGAGTATCTATACTATAAAGTATAAAGTAAGGAGTATGTATGTATGTGACGAAAAGACATCAAAACCGCTTGACCAATCTTGATAAAACTAGGCAGGAATGTTCCTTGGGTACAAACTTAGACAGTAGTGTGTGTATTTTAGCCCTAAAACAAACTTAAGACCCTAAAAAAAATAAAATTTGTCCGACTCTATTAAAGCTATAGTATTTATGAATCTAGGCCATGTTTAACAATGTTGACATGAGAAAAGATCGAAAGGATTTAGACCTAGATCTAATTTTAAGAAATACACTTTGCGCAGATAGTTTTTTACTTTGACACATTAAAATACATAAGAAGATCCATTGATTTCATTATATAATAAAATTAACCTTCAATTTTGTGTTTCAAAAGCATTTTTTACATAAATTAGTTCCTGATATCTGTGACTACAGATTTCCTGGCGAACATTCTTTCATTAGACAATACCGTAATGAATCGCGTACTAAAAATTAATTCGTTTAATTGTTTACTTTATAATCCCATCCCTAGATCTAAAACTCTAATTCAACTCTAAGATGATAAAACTTCTCTTCGCACAGATAATTTTATACTTTAACACATGAACATACTAATTATAGTCCATTCATTTCATATTTTGATCAAATAAACATTCAAATTTGGTTTTCTAAAGCATTTTTAAGAGACTACATTTGTTTACGAAAGCTGCGAAGCCGAGTTGAGATAGGCCTAGATCTATATTCATTCATGAATGGCGTACTAAAAATTATTTCGTTTAATTGTTCACTTTATAATCCCATTCATTTAACAAAGCTATCGCTCTTTTCGTTTTTAATAGATATGAATGTATTGGCTTCGGGTAAACCAATTTTCGCAAGCCTAATTTTATTTTCGTAGCGAAAGAGAAAAAACTTGAAAGGATCATTAGCTAAGTTTAACATACATCCAAATCCAATCCACTAGATTAGTAAACACAAACTTAGACCCGCAGGTCGCGGGTAATGTCAGGCTAGTAAAATAATATTTTCAAACAACCTGATTCATGTCTGTCCATTCTTTTACCCCTCCCCACTCTCTTTTTGTTTAGTATCAACTTGACTTCATTAATATTGTATTAACAGTAGACACAACAGAAATAATGAAATTGTAAATGACTGAGCCATCTAATGCTGTCTATAACATGTTTCAGAAAGAGCAAGAAACTGAAATGCGATACAGAAACCTGGAGGCACTGTACCATGAAGCTTGCAGTGAGATCAGTACACTCCAGCAGCTGGTCATGTCTGAGTCAACCAAAGGCAGCAGGTACGCTGGGGCCAATTTGGACAAAGGTTTATCTCGTCTGAGGAAAGCCTTGGACTCAGCTGCCTCACTGAAACCCCAGAGCAAGCACCTGGCGGCAGATGTTGTGGTTAAGAAGGAGCATGACATAACGGTGGATTGATAACCCAAACTGTCTCTCACATCTTGCGTGGTTCATTTAAAAATACCCTATCTGTTCTGCAGCTGAGGATGGAAAGGAGAGTTAATCCTCTGATAAGAACCACAACTCTGTGTCTTCTGAAGCAAGTGTCTGTCATGGATGCTTCATTTGAGCTGTATATTGAAACCTGCATTGATATTTTCTGTTTGTATAAATTAATTGAGCACTCAGAGATGTCTAGAGATGCCAAGTGTCATTTGTGATTCTTTTTTATCCAAGTCATTTGTTGATTTATCTCTGTTCAAAAACAAGACTATATTAAACAATTATTAGTTTAAAAAAAAATATTTTAAAAAATTACAAAGAAACATTGATTCAAATGTTACTGACTTTATAAAGATGGCTGTGGGTTTTTGAATAGATTTTTTGCTTTATTCCTTTGACAAAAGAATATTTTGTATCTGGTTGTTGTACAGAGAATATAATATCTTAACTGTTGTGGTGACGTTAGCACATTGTATTTTGTAAATATTTTATATAAATATCTCTCTTAATATACACAGGAGTACATTTGTGTTGACAAATTTGTGATTTTTTGTCTCATCAAAGGCAGAGTGCTCTGTGGTCTCCCCTAATGTTTAGAACAAAATTCAGTTACAGTAAAAAAATATCTTTAAGTTTTGCATTCACTGTGAATGGCCCTCCCACATGTCATTATATTATGCTGCCATAACCCTTGTATTAAGTCTCCACTTGAAAGTTCAGTTTTCATGTCTGTCTCAAAGTAAGGAAAGTCTGAACTGAGCTAGGAGGGGGTGTTTACATCTAGTCATTAAATATTGTGATTTTTTTTTTTTTACTCGTTACTTTCTTTTAAATGTGTGTTTGTGTTTTTTTTTTATCTGAAATGAAATGAAGTCCTGGAAATTGAGAGACAAATAAAAGAGTTTACCCTGTAATTAGACTTAAGCAAGTCATTCAACTTGCTGCAATGACTATTTTATATTTGTTAGTACATCATGGATCCATGTTATTTACTTCCATTTTGGCTTGGAGTTACACATAGGAAATTATCAGCAGAGTCAAATAATTCTTTTATCTCAAAAATACCTTTTTCTTTTTGGAAGAGAAGGGAATTTCAATACACATTTTACAATATGGCACAAAGTTATTTATCTTTAAGAAAAAAAAACTCAACATTTTTTTAGTTTCAATCTGGTAGCCCAAAAAAGAATAAATGGATTTTTAAAATATTTTTTTTATATAATGTGACCTAACAGCTGTACAGCTGAAAGGTAGATGTAATCTTATTTTTTAAAAATCATGAAATGGATTTCCTCAAATTATTGAGTACAAAAAAAAATGAATATTGACATTATCTAAACAATGTTTCAAATTTCATGTATATAGGTTAGTTTCTGATATGTTCATTTAAAAAATTATTGTATTATTTGAATTTTTACTCTTTTTTTTATTTATTTTAAGCATTTTACTTTTAGTCTAAGATTTGTGTATGGTTGCATTTAATTTGCACAGACTATCAAATACTTTATATTGTGTAGAGCTTCAATACTCACCATCTTTAAAGTGTTTCAATTTCATTGAGTTTGTATCATACAAAAAAAAAAAAATGAAAGCAAATGGCATGTTCTATGTTTTGTTCTGGGCAGACTAAATGGTTCATTTATTGTTCATTCAGGTTGTACAAAAGAAATGTATTGTTTCAAACTAATATAGAAAGACATGTTCCTAATTTGGTTCCTACTGATCTTAGGCCTTGTGCAGTTGGTAGAAAAAATTGACTGTCAGGTTATACAAGATAAGTATTTTATGCTGAATGATAAAAAAAAAAACAAAAGCAGTCTTTACAGAGGCAAGTACTTTAGGTGACCATCAGCCTTTTCTTTGGGGCTTCATGAACAGGGTTTGAGACTTTCAGGCTGGCAATTAAAGAGTTACAGCTTTTTTAATACTTGAAAAAGGACTCTTGGGTTTTCTTAATTGGAAATAAATTGTATGTAGAGAGTGACTCTGATTGAAGGCAGGATCCTAGTTTTCTATTCCTAGTTTTGTTCCTGTCTACTGTTGTACTTGTTTTTTTGTTTTATCTCTTGTTGCTGCTGTACTAGTTGGCATTTGTTAATAGGGCCACTGATGACCACATATACCTCACACAAGGAGAGTCTGTCACTTTTGCTTACATTTCCTGTGGGCAGAGACAAGATTCTTCTCTATCTATATATAATAATAATAATACTATACACACTTTTTGTCTTTATTTTGCTTAGATCAAGGGGTCTTGTTTTAGCTAAAGGGCAAGTGTTAATAGTGTTCATGGTGTGCTTCAGCAGAGTTTCTTGAATAGATTTGACTAACTACTATTTATTGATTGCATAATACCTGTAAGTTGTAGTAGTTTGGATAGAACACTTATCTAAGTAGAGCCAGGAATACATTGACTTTGCTCCTGCAGTTTACTTTTGCGTTTAGGCAATATTGTTTGTGGCGATTGAATTCTTGGGAGGAGTGCACATTGTCCAGTGAACAACAAACTATTGACGCTTACAAAGAATCTGACAAATAATTGAGCCAATAATATTAGACACTTTCTTGGGTGGCAATGCTTTGTAACTACTTAGTGTAGTCAAGGAATGAAATTTTTGTTTCTATTTGTGTGCTGTCTGTTTATACTTGTTTGATAATAATCACCATTTAAAGCAGCATGTCAATCCTAACATTGATAGTTGTCTTGTTTACACTTGCATTGTTTGTGTGCTTCTTCTAATGTGTCCTAATCATTGGGTCATACATCAAGTCCTAGGTTACTTTCACAATTCTGTACATTGGAATGTAACTGGCCTCACCCCTCCTAACCCATTTTTTCTTGTATAGTTTGTAAATACAGAACTACTTAAACCTTATAGTGTCACCGCTTCATATGTCTATCACTTTTCCAGTATTTTGATGGTGGGTTAGAGTCAGTCTATAATTGTGCTAAGTAGTGCAAGTCTATGTGATAGGAGTGTAAGTCATCAATACCACCACATAACCACCTCTCCTGTGTTTAGTTTTTTAATTTGATGCATGGCAGCATTCACCTTTGAAATACATATATATATATAGGTATATTCTAAACATTTCTAGCCAAGTGTAAGAGTTAGTGCTGCTTAGTGTATTTGTAGAATGTTGTATAGGTACTGCATGCTGGAGACTTTGCTGCCCTTGTGCTCCAGGTGTTGTGTTGGACACACAGTAGGAGATAGAACTCTATTGGCCAGTATGGTATATACTCAACCAAAAAATGGCATTCATTCATCCTGTATAAACCATCAAAATCTTCCAAGATTTAAACTGTTTCTTTTTTTTTGTTGTTTGTTTGACTCATTCATTGTTGTGTATTTATAACACAAATATCTTGAAAAAAAAACAACCAACTAATCTGTCATGTAATTGCTGGTTGATAACTTGGCAGTGTGGACAGAAAGAGATGCAAGTTGGATTTATAGGGCATGTTGAGTATTTGGCTCAAACTGTCTAATGTGTGTTTGAAAGTAAATGAAATGTTTGTGTGCAATACATGGTGATGTCTGGTCAGCTGTTTTGGACTTCTATATTTTATACATACAGTTTGTTTGAGTTGACACGATAGTTGGTCTGTATTTCAACCAGTGTATTGTGATACTTGCCAGTTTCTTGTCACTCCCACATTTCATGACATTAGCTTTAACTAGTGTTACCTTGGAGGATTTCTTTTTTTGAGTACCTGTCTTCCCCCCTCCACTTGTTGTAGGTACACTTGGAGTTAGGAAAAGATGAAATGCCCTACTTGATCAAAATTGTTTCATGGATTCTATTTGGAACTGAAAATGTTTGTGTGTGTAAGAGGTTGGTCACTGAAATGATTTGAATAAACTGCCTTGTTTTTTTAATGTGTAGACAATGACAACAGAACAAAACCAACACAAATCTTGTCATATAGTGTATCAGTAGTTTCTTATTGATCTAGTTCTAGCTCTATATATCTAGTGTGTGTGTATGGATGTCTTAAGTCTATCCTGTAAAGGTTGTTGAAGGATAGAGCTGTCTAATTATTTGTATATATTTGGTAAAAAAAAATAATTTTTGTGGCTTGTTTTAAATCTCCTCCATATTGATTGCAGCAAACATTTTCATTTAGTGCCATAGCAGCCGATGGATTTGTATGTGTCTCTAGGTTGTGGAAAGGCAAATTTGTGTTGTTTTTTTACAGGAGTATTACATTTTAAGAAAAGGGGGATCCACAGGGCTGTCTTAACTGAATGATGTGACATGCCTTGTACATAGGTGACTATACAGGCTGCTAGTATTGTAAAGTCAAGACATATTTGTTTGCGTTGTGGATAGTGCTATGTTGGTTCACATTCTAATGATTGAATCCCAGACTGTTTCATCAACTTTTCCTTTCTGAAACAGTAAAATCACAAAGTTGAATTAACTATGTAAGACACAAACACTTGGGATATGCATTTGAAAGTTTGTTTTCTTTTGTTTAAAGCATGTAGTTTATTAGATATGTATATCTGTCCAGTTGTTTTGCTACATGACTCCTATTGAATGTTTCTATTTTCTTATGGTCAGTCTGATCCAGTTGATTCTACCTTTAAGTGTTGTACCTTAGTGTCTGTCAGTTTTGAAGTCTCTCTTGGCTTTTTTTTTTTGTTTGTTTAAATTGATATTGAGTTGAGTAGCAATGTACTGTTTCAAACAAATATTTTTCAAGTTTGTCTTTATTTTTTAGTTAAGTGTCTGGTTCTATTCAAGTCCCTCTTTTAGAATTAAGAAATTGCATTTAAATCATTAGAAAATGCTAATTAGCATGGTATCCATGCTGAGTTTGGTCTCCCCTTATAGTGGATAGGATGGGATTTGTGTGTGTGTGCCATGACAGCCTTGTGTTGAATCACATGAGAAAAGAAGTTTTTTTTTTTTAATGATGAAATCTGTGATATGCTGTAGGCCACCCCCACAATACATTTCACCATGTGATATGACATACTACACTGGCCAGAAGTGGACTGGCCTGACCTATATCTGGAAGTGCAAGTAGAACAGAAGCCACTAGTTGGTGTGGCTCCCCCTCCTGGTGATGTATAGGAGACATTGTATAACAATGCTTTCTTTAGTTTGTGAACATTTTGTTCTGTTGTGAACACCCACATTGTGGCTTGAACCATGTGTATCATTGAAATAAGCACAAGTTGTACAGTTTCTTTTAATGATATTTACATTTTTAGTTTTTTTTTTCCCCTTTTTGTCACATGGTGAAGTCTATTTACTACATAACAGACAAGAATTTAGACAGTGTTTTAATACCTGATTCCCACACACATATTTTTTCAATGATGCATTTTTTTTACCTAGGTTATTATTATTTTTTTTTGGTGAGCAAAAACAATGTGTTTGATTTGTTTCATTATTCTGTTGTTGGCTCTTTGTTAAATAAATATTTCATTATGCATAGACTGATGGAATCTTGCTTTTATATTTGAGTATTTTAGTGTGCTGAAACATCTCAAGTAATAAGTTTTTTCTGTATTACCAAGTTAATCTTTGTACATTTTGATTTGGAAGAATTTGGAAAAAGGGTCTCAGATATTACACAATTGAAAAAAAAAACTAATCAGTATCAATAGGAGGTCAAAATATGTTATTTATTTTCAATTAGTTGGGAGAACAACTCTCCACTGAGAAATATAAAAAAACGCAGAGCATACACAAAAAACTATTTTAAAAAATTATAAAATTTGCATCAATCACCGATCACATTTGCATAAAAAAAATAGTTTAGTTTAAAAAAAAAAAAAAGAAATGTGTATATTTAATTAATTAATTATTCAATTAAATATCAACATAGTAGTAGTCTTATTATGAAAGACAAGTTGCATTGATAAAAAATGCGTTTAATAATGTAGAAATATCTGAAATCAATGAAGCTCATTGGATGCTTTTAGAGAAACACACTGGGCACCAACAAAATGAAACTAAATTTAGGTAAAAAAAAAATAAATAAATAAAAAAGATTTTTATAGTTCCTAGCCAAACCTAGAAATTAGAATGACCAAGAAAAAGATGTGTGGGCTAGGAGAAGCAACAACAGAGGGGAGGGGGGGTATGATACAAAATAATGCATTTATTTTTATCCTTAGGTGGTAATGTTTATTTTAAAGACTCCTTACATAGTTTTCTTGAAAAAAAGATTTTTATAAATTTTTTTACATTTTGAATTAAAAGTAAAAACTGGTTTCATTAATTAATATCCTGAGGTTTAACAAAATATGTGGGTTGACATTGCCATGAACAAAAAAAAATTTTAGTCTATTTGTTCACGTCTATATATTTATTATTAAGAAGAAAGGCACAGTTAAAAAGTACTAGAGAGAGCAGTGATTGGCAAACTATGGCCGATGGGCTATCTCCAGCCCACAGACAAAGTTTTATCCAGCCTGCCACTTGTTTTGTACAAATTATTTAAAACTTTTACCCTTAATGTAAAAACTCAAGTAGAAACATAGGAGCAATATTAATTTATTTCTATAATTCAAGACGTGTATGATAGTTGTATCAGCTGATTTGAAATTCTCACACAAATTCAGTGAACTTAATGTGCATGTGATTCATGACTCACAGGGACCAAAGACAACAGCAACATATTTGGATGAGTTGTAATTTTATCTGGATTTGTACCCATTTTTAATAAGAAAATCAAATCTAACAACCACCAGAACAATATTCTTTTCCCATACTGCATCATGGTGGCTGAGTGGTTGTTATGAAAATTATACTCTGTATCGGTTGTCGTTCTTATGTTTACATGTGCTTGTAACTCGTCCATGAGAATGTGTTCACGAAATGTGTGTTGTGTAGTCATTCAGTGTATTAAAGCCATACTATACAGACATGGTTCTCGACTCTCTTATCTTTATGTTTATAACAATTTAATACACTGAATCTAAAACTGTGAAGTTGTTAGAATTTTGAAATGGATAGGATATTTCGCCCTGAGAAGTTTGACATCGAGCCCACAGCACCTCAAGCAGCAGAGCATTGGCAGCACTGGTATGAAACGTTTAAAAATTTTATATCGGTAGTATCAGTAGACAATCTTGATACTAAGAAACTACTGATAAACTATCTCTCTCCTGGTGTATATCAAATGATACTTGATAAAGAGACATTTGATGAAGCTATCCAGACTCTAAATGGCATCTACATTCAACCAAAGAATGAGGTGTTTGCTAGGCACAGGTTAGCTACTTGCAAACAAGAGCAAGGTCAAACGATAGACACCTACATGCAGAAATTAAGAATTCTTTCCAAAGATTGCAACTTCAAAGCGGTGACTGCTGAACAACACCGAGAAGAGGCTATTAGAGATTCGTTTATCAATGGACTAGTGTCCAACAGCATTCGAAAACGTCTACTCGAAAAGACTGTTTTGAGTTTAAAGGACGCCTTCGAGGAGGCTCGCTTACTAGAACATGCTTATCAGCACTCATTACAGTATGAATCATCACAGCCGGAAACTAATTGCGCGGCAACTACTCTCACCAATTCTTCGGCCTCACCCTTGCCAAACGTAACGATTCCTCAAAGTGCTAGCAATTCACACACACATGAAATAAATGCATTAGCTAGGAAGTGTTATTTTTGCGGCAGGGTTAAGCATCCCCGATCTCAATGCCCTGCAAGGGAAGTGACATGCAATCAGTGCTTCAAAAAGGGTCACTTTCAAAGAGTTTGCAAATCTAGATCTTCAACAGTTTCGGCTATCACTACTGTGCAGCCTTTGAATTTAAACAAATCTACAATACCAATTTGCATCAACAACGTGCCATTGAAAGCCCTAGTAGACACTGGGAGCTGTGAAAGCTATATTTCGACGCACATCGCTAAGAAGCACAAATGGCAGACATGTTCCTCAGGCAACAGAATCTTTATGGCTTCCACCCATCTATCTCGGATCACTCAAGGGCATATCTACGCTAACATACGTCTCAAAAATGAACGATACGAGGGAGTTAGACTTTCTCTACTAGACAATTTATGCTCTGACGTAATACTTGGACTTGACTTTATAAGTTTGCACCAAAACTTGTTTATTCCTTTCGATGGTCAGAAACCATCATTATGCCTGAGTACTCTCCAGCCAGCGAAGGTAGAGGCTCCTAGCCTATTTAGTAATCTGTCACCAAACTGTACCCCAGTGGCTACAAGGTCTCGCAGATACTCAGTTCTAGATAGAAAGTTTATAGAGAAGGAAATTCAACAACTAATAAAGGATGAAATTATTGAACCATCTAAATCTCCCTGGCGTGCACAAGTCCTAGTCACAACAAATGACAGACATAAGAAAAGAATGGTTGTGGACTACAGCCAAACCATAAACCGGTTCACTCTACTAGACGCCTACCCTATGCCCACAATTGACGAACTGGCAGAGAAGATTTCGCAATACTCTGTATATAGCACTTTAGACCTGAAAAGTGCATACCATCAGATTCCTATAAAAGAAGAGGAAAGGCCGTTCACAGCCTTCGAAGCATGTGGGAAACTGTATCAATTCCGTCGGATTCCGTTTGGCGTTACGAATGGAGTCGCCTGTTTTCAGCGTACGATTGACAAAATCATCGAAGACGAACGACTCACTGACACTTTTGCTTATGTGGACAATGTGACCATCTGCGGTATGGACTCTGAATCACACGACCGAAACCTACAGCGATTTCTTGATAGTGCTCAAAAGTATGGAATCACTCTTAATGAAACAAAAAGTGAAATTAGCACTGCTAAAGTGAGACTGTTAGGATACGAGATTTCCAAAGGACAACTTAAGCCGGATCCTGAGAGATTTCGCGCTCTATGGGAATTACCCGTACCAGTGAACATGCATGAACAGAAACGAGTAGTGGGTCTTCTGGCTTACTACTCACAGTGGATACCTAACTTCTCAACAAAAATTAGCCTGTTAACAAGAAATCAACAATTTCCTGTCTCAGAAGAAGTCAAAAGAACATTTGAAAGTTTGAAAAATGAGCTTGAAAAAGCCGCCGTATATACTATTGATCCGAATCGCCCTTTAACCGTTGAGACGGATGCTTCTGATATAGCCATTGCGGCTACCCTCAACCAAGATGGCCGGCCCGTTGCTTTCTTCTCTCGCTCATTAACAAAAAGTGAAAGAAAACATTCTTCAGTTGAGAAAGAAGCATATGCCATTGTTGAGTCGCTGAGAAAATGGAAACATTTCTTAGTTGGTAAAGCGTTCACACTTGTTACGGATCAGCGATCTGTCTCTTTCATGTATAACAGGTCAAACAAAGGAAAAATTAAAAATGAAAAAATCCAGAGGTGGAAACTAGAACTCTCGTGTTTCCACTATGACGTCATCTATCGCCCTGGCAAGCAGAACACTGTAGCTGATACACTTACCAGAAACTATCTATCTGCCATCACTCGCAATGACCTTAAATTGTGCACACTAGTCTTTGCCACCCGGGCGTTACTCGACTATTGCAATACGTAAGGACTCAAAATCTTCCATTTTCCTGTGATGACGTCAGAACTGTAATAGAACAATGTCAAGCTTGTGCAGAACTAAAACCCCGTTTTTTTTCGACAGCCGACCGGAGAACTGATTAAAGCAACTCAACCTTTTGAGAGAATTAGTATGGATTTCAAGGGACCTCTCCCTACTGTTTCAAGAAATAGATATCTACTTACCATTATAGATGAATTCTCTAGATTCCCATTTGCATTTGCATGTCCCGATATGTCTTCCTCTACGGTTGTTAAATGTCTCAATGATTTATTCGCAATATTTGGATTTCCAGCGTACGTCCACACTGACAGGGGAACTTCGTTTATGTCTACAGAGGTGCAGCATTTCCTCCACGAGAGAGGAATTGCAACCAGTAGAACGACCCCTTACAGTCCGAGAGGAAACGGACAAATAGAGAAGTTTAACGGGACTTTATGGAAAGCCATCACCTTGGCTCTACATTCTAAGGAATTGGACATAGCTAAATGGGAACTAGTACTAAATGATGCTCTGCAATCCATCCGGTCATTACTATGCACTGCAACTAACAGGACACCACATGAACGATTTCTTGGGTTCAACCGAAGAAGTGGTTCTGGGACATCCTTGCCAACATGGTTGACCAGTCCTGGTCCAGTCCTGCTGAAGAAGAACGTTAGATCATCTAAATACGATCCCATAACAGAGGAAGTTGATTTGGTAACATGCAACCCTCAGTACGCTGTAATCCGAACACCAACCGGTCGAGAGGAAACTGTCTCATTACGAATGTTAGCCCCTAGGGAGGAACAAAAAGTTATAGAAAATGAGAATCAGAGTAGAACAGAGCTTGATA